CATGTGCTGCTGGAGGGGGATCGTCCCTGCAAAAATGGCTCTTGCTTCTTGCAAGAACAGGTGAGATGGGATCTCAAATCTGGGAGCAGAGAGCCGGCACAGAGGTAATTCTGCTGGAAATGTAGACAGGACAGAAGGTGTTCATCAGGAGGGGAAGGAAGAATGGGGGGTGATGGAAGCAAACAGAGGACTGGCCAGGAGAAGCTGTAAGGGGTGCAGGAGGGTGGGATGGGCTGGCTAGCACAGTGGTGGGCTGTGTGGGAAGTGTGGCTGAACTGGTGGAACCAGAAGACAGGAAGACAAGGAAGGGTTGCTGGAGGGATAGCAAGAAGGACAGATGGGCAATGGGAAGAGGGAAATGAAAGCACTAGGGTGCATGGTGGTTAGAAGTTAACAGGGGTGGGGGGGATATTGGGTTGCCTGGACAAAAGTGTTGATGTTGGATTAGGTGGGCAGGGGAATGGAAGAAAGCACAGTAGAGAAATTACTGCAACCAGTTTTTTTGCTTATCCCATGTTTTCATTGCGTGGACAGCTGATTTGCCACACTTGGGTTGATATGCAGAGCTACTAGGTTCTTGCAGCAGTTGCTTTGAACGTACCCGGTTCACTTTTAAAGCTAAGTCTTTCTTTTAAAAATCAGGTTGTAGGCACTTCAGAGAGGGTGCCTAGAATGGAGGGAATTGTTTTCACTTTAGTCTGTCTGTATAAATACTTCTGTCTGGCACATGTCTGATATGAAATGGGAATAATGTCACCCAGACGTGAGTGAAGATAAGCTAGTTTAATGTGTGACCCATCTAGATAATATGCTTTGTAATTTAAATGCCTGTTAGTAACTCAATCTTCAGAACAGTGTTTGGATAACTGCTGTAGATAAAACCTGGGAAGACTAGCATCACCTAGTCTGCACATCAACCGGGACAGGAGTCCTGCAGAATTCAGTAGCCTCCAGTCATGTAATTACAGACTGCAGCAAATTGTGTGTCCATGTGGGGTGCCTTGATTTTGGCAATTCTTGCTGCTGTAGGCATAATTCTGCAATATGAATCACGTTCCTTCTATGTTTTCTATTAAAAAAAAATCAAGTAGCAGAGAGCTGAAGAGATGTTACAGAGGGCAGCCAGGGCCAAATTCTCTGTCACTTCTGGTCTCCCAGACCAATATATGGCTGCTGTGCCAGGATGCTCTCTGGAAATTGGGCTAACGAAAGGAGCCTTCCAATGGGCTGTTTGGAACACCATGAAGGGAGGGTTCAACAACGTGCAAGCTATTTCAGAGCATGGAGGTAAGAACTGCTCCTGCCACTGCCGCAGGTGTTAGCATTCATCATTGCTAGCACTGGTTACCATACAGATGGCAGTGGTACCCTCCCAAAATAATAAGGCTTGGGAACCCCTGCCACTGAAAAGAACTACAGACAAATGCAGATCATCAATAGAAACTCGTGTGTTTTCCCCACTGAGAATGAGCTTGAAAAGCAGCTCAGAGGAAACTCTAGCACCAGATTTCTTCAGGGTGTTTTTCAGGAGTGCTTTGGGCTTTTCTCAGTGCCAGAGATGAGATCCTCACTCTTGGACAGAGCACCCCGAGACGAGGTGCTCTGATGACGTTTCCATCTGGTGGTCCCATTGTGTCCCGCTCGCTGAGGCTGCAGCTCCCCATTGTGTCTGCCTGCACGGGGGCTGATGCTGATTTCCGCCATTCACGCTTGTTTCTTTGCATCTGAGCGTGCTGCTGAGAAGTTTCCAGAGAAAAGCTTGGCCCCTGTTTCTAATGTAATGCAGAGTTGTACTGGCTGCTGGGGACAAGTCGGAAACGCTGGCAAGATAGCAGGCATCCTCAGGAAGCAAACCCTATCAGAAAGCACTGATGTCATTGGCAAACAAAACAAATGAGCGCTGGAAAAACAAACTGTTTTCCAGCCTTGTTGATCTTCCCTCAAATTAGAAGCTCTGCACAGCCTTTACTCTGTGGCCCAGTCTGACAGATTATTTACATGACAGTGCTGCAGCAATGGTTTTGTTACTCCTGCCAATCCAATTCCTTTGATTTTATTTTTTAGATTTATTTATCTAAGGGAGGGTGGGGTGAGTGTCCCAGTGCTGAAGCCAGATTTGGAATGCTGGCCAGCATCCTTGCAGATGCTGGTGCTGACATGGTTGATGTCCTGCAAGCTTTGATCAGGCGTGACCTCCAGCTTCCCTGCCCCTGGCCAGGTCCTACGCAGGGGATGCCACCTCCCCACAACTTCTGCACAGCCCTTCAAGGCATGTGTCCTGCCAGTGTCCCAGCTAGCAGCCACCTACCACCACTGCTACTGGTTCTTTGGAGCTTGTGCCATGAGCATGGAGCATTTTTACATATGGTGAGTCTGGGTAGAGCTCGTCTGGGGGTTGGTGCTGAGGGCACCATGGCAGGCAGAGCAGTGCGGGCTTTACCCTCTTGGTTGTTCTGACTGCCGTGTTGTGATGGGCACAGTGATAGCATCCTGCTTCCAGATGGGCCTCCCCACCACCCATAGCACTGTGGGGTTTTCCCTTCCACATGTGATAAGTTTGTGGAGCAGGAGGAGGCAGTCACACCAGTTCCTCATGGTGCATTTCCACTCGTTGCTCCTCACTGCTGGTGCTAGAAGGAGGATCAGAGTAAACCCCACGGTCTGGAGGTTTCTCATTCACTCATCTTTTTCTCTCTGATGCCACCATGGCTGCAGTGGCGGCAGAGAGGGGGTTAAGCTCTGCTCCAAGACTGCCTGATAATAACAGGAAAAGCACATTTCTTCTTTGCACCTGTGAGCGCTTCGATGGGCTTTCTGCTGTTTATGGTAGTCACATTGGATCTTTCTCTCCTTAGAAGCTGAACAGCTCTAGCAGCCAGCTGTTCTCTTTGCTCTGCTTGTACCTGGCTCCTTGCACAGTCCGGGCAGGGGGTGGATGGAAAATCAGCTTTTTAGGTCAGCATTCAAAAATAACCCACAAAGCCTTCCCTTCCTTCCATGAGGGAAGGGTCCTACTCCTCCCTGCTTTCTGTCTGCTTGTACTTACTGCTGGCTCGCCTACTCAGAGCTCTTACTGGGAATTTGGAGTCCTGTTCTAGCAAGGGCTACTCCTAAAATATCTTCAGCACAGAGCTTTATTTCTCTGTTTTTAAAGGGTGTGTAGTGTTACATGTGTGAAAAGGGAAGAGATTCATTAAGCTCTAGAGACAAACCGGTTTAAGTGCTCAGCAGGCTCTCAGGCTGAAAAGCCACTTCTGCAGCATTCCAGGCTACCAGTTAGGCTGTGGCTCTGCATAAAAATCGTGCCTGTTTTTCCACACTGTGGGCTCTCCTTGGGCGAGTGCCGTGGCCACTGTGGGCAGTGCAGGGCAGATGTGGCTGGAGGGTCCCTGCATGCCCAGGAGCTGCACACCAGGCTGGCCCAGAGCAGCTGGTCAGACCAGCTCTGTAGCCTGCAGAGCATGCAGGAGACAAGGCAGAACAGAAAATGGGTGAGGTGCTGGATAGGCAAAAAGTGGCCATAGTATATAGAGGGCTGCAACACAGAAACTGGTTTATATAGTAAGCCAACCCATCCACTTCTGTGTATATGTAGCCTGGGAGATTTGGTCCTAATAAACACACAGCATCTATCTCAGTAGTTGCTCCATTTCAAGGAAATAATTGTCAATAGCAGTGAACAGACTCCTCCCTTTTTGCGTGCCCAAGGAGCGCATTAGAGACCAGCGTATAAAATGTACTTGCATGTCATGATCTTTGCAGGGACATTCTTCTTTTGAGCAGCTGCCAGTGCTGGACTCATGATTCACAGGTGGACCTGCTACTGCTAAGGACATACAGTACTCACTAGGCATGTTAAATGAACTCCTCATGCAAGGAAAATCATCTTGTGTTTTATATTTTACATAAAGAATTTATTTCTGTGCATTTTACCTCTTTATCCACCTTTTTTAGATTTCTTTTTTCTGGTGACACAGTTCAAACAGGGAGGAATGTATCAGAATGGGTCCATTGTTTTGCATAACCTACAGTACAGAACGTTACCTTCCACTCGTTTTAAAACTCTGGAAGACTGGGTGTTCTGTAATTGCCATAATAAGCTGTGAGAGTGGTATAGACAATAGAGATTGTTTCTGGACAACTAGTTCAGTTTACTGGATCTTTGCTCTAGTCAGTGCAGAATTGAGGGCTGTCACTGGGCAAGAAAAATCTTGACCATCCTGTGTCTTGGAAATCATTGAGACACAATAGAGGAGGCCATTGCAGATTGTTTCCAGCCGTGTTACTCAGTGGAAATGTGCTGTAAAAACAGCATATTTATAATCTTAGGTTTTGTGTTATTCTAGCTGAGGACTGCAAATTTCCAATGGGCCAAGGCAGGGAGAATAGAAAGTAAACTGTAAAAAAGACTGTTTAGCTGGGGTGTTGCACGATATTACCTGGGTTTCTCATGTGGTTGCATAATTCAGTTTTGTTCTTATGTATATTTTGTCATTGTTCATGTGAACTTTTTTTTAAATTGCAATAGGCAGACCTGTAGGGAGAGGCATATTGTCCTGTAATTCGCTCCCTCCTCCTGCAGCAACTTAAAACACAGTATAGAACACACCTCTCCATGACTGGAGAAAAATAGTTTTCTAAGGAAATGTCTGCTCAAGTTGTGGGTTTACCTCCAGTGCAAAGATTTTTTTGAGATCACATTAGTGAAATCCGAAAGCTGCAATCACCAGTGAATTCTTGAGTGAAAGGGACTGAGTCAGCAGCAGCAGTGGCAGCACGGCATCTGCTGCTTGGCTGAGTGCAAGGAGGTGTATTGTCTAGGGAAAGCCATCACATGATTCATCAGCATCTGCATGCACTTTGCTTCATCTATTTTATTAAGAGGGTGGAAAACCGAGTCCAGGGGATGAGATTTTTAGCTTCAGTAGCCTAGCAGCTGATCAAAGATATCTTTCCTTGTTTAAAGCAGTCTTCTGCTTATTTTTGGTTTTGTTTTCTAGTGATGGGTCCAGCTGGAAAGAGCTTTCTGATGGCACAGCTGTGAGTGAAACCAGCAAAACATGTTCAGTGTCGAGGACCTCCTGATTTCTCATGGATACAAATTGTCAAGAAATCCCCCTGTTTCATATGAGAACAGGTATGATGGATACCGGCATGAAGTGACGGGGAACAGATCTGCTCAGAGGTCAACACTGAACGGGTTTGAGGCAGAATCCAGAGCTGGGGCCTACGGCAAGAAACCTCTGGTGAAAACCAACTCAAGCAGCACTGAAAGCAGCCATGGGAGCCAAGGGAGGCAAACAGGTCCTGGTTACCACCATGACCTTCAGGGTTTGTCCACTTTTCATACTTCAGAAGGGGGGTAAGTTTCAGCATCATGCCATGGCTTTGCTTTCTCTTTCTTTTGGTCCTGACAGGTAACTAACCACAAATCTAACCCTTAACCCCATCTTCCTGTGATCCTTTCCTGCTCCCATCCTAGTGACCGTTTCCATGCACTGGATGTCCACACAAAGCAGGGGCACATCCATTCACCTTCTACTAGAGAAAGGCCTTTGGGAATACTGGGATGATTGGAAGTGGCTGCATGTGGGAAAATTTGATTTAATTATGTGGTCTGTATCAGAAAGGCCTTTCTGATAGGCTTAGGGAAGCTCAGTCCTAGTACAGGGAAAAATAGGGGGAAAAGTTCTTCCTTTTCTTCAGTTTTAAAAAACTGAACTCGGCTTCTTCTGCCACATACACACTCCAGTTTTTGTTGCAGATTCAGCCACGTGCAGCATGGTGGGTGCAACACACCCACTTTTGATGGGTGTTCCTGTACGCACTGAGGACTTTCTTGTTTTCCTCAGGCCACGCTCATGGAGTAAGCATGAGAAGGTGCCTGTGCACTTCTTTTTAAAACGTCCCCAAGCCAGTGGAAGCTCTTGTCGTCACACCATAAAACGAGCTTGTACGATTGTGATTGCTCGACACCGAGTACGTGCACACCGGGGCTGGGGCCGGCTGGGCAGGAAGAGCTGTGTGTACACACCACTGCTCGGCCATTGTTCTGCAGCTATTTGAGTGCTGCAGATGAACAAAGGAAAGGGGCTCAAGCAGGACTGGAAGCCAGCCCAAGTATGACGATCGTTTACAAGGAAAAGCCCCTTCCTCCTGCCGAGTGGGCTTGAAACTGAAAGCAGGGCAAAACACTGTCACCTTGGGAGCTTGTCCTCTTACAAAGTCCTTCAGTAACGTAGCAAAGCCATGTGTCCCCTCACTGCTGGGCTTGTCTGATCTTTCCCTTCATATCTCTTCCCCTTGCAAGCCCGTTTGCCTGGAGCGGGAATGGCTGCTGGTTGCCAGCTAGGATAATGGGCAGGAAGAGGTAAAGCCCTGTAAAGCAGTTGTAGGGCAGCAAGTCCCAGGCAAGGTGAAGGTTTGCAGGTGGAACCATCCATTCTAAAGAAGGAAGGACAGGACACAGGTTTAAAGGTAATAAGGAGGATCCTTCCTGGTGTGTTTTGGATGAAGTAAACTGGATGGCAAAAAAAGTGAGAGAAGATACTGAAAAAGAATGAAAGAGAAGAAAATTTTAAAACAGGGTGAGAGAGGTGGTCTCTTTCTAATATCTCAAAATGCAAGGAGTGGAACCTGTCAGTCTACAGGATAGTTAAATATTGTATCCTGGTTTTTAAAAGTGGCTTTTCCACATAAAATAGGGAACATAGCCCTGGAAATGGCTTTGTCATGCTTTCATAAAAATAGAAATATTTTCTTGATACTATTGTTACAACAAAGTCTGCTTCCCAGTGAGCCTACTGGGAACTCTTGCAAGGCACTAGCATCTGGGAAAACCTTCATATCAGCCATCCCTTCCTTGCCATGCCTGAGTGTGTGGAGTGCCTCCAGTGCAGAGCGTGACACAGCCGCGGCCCTGCTGGTCCAGGAAGGGAGGAGCAAGCTCCCTGGGCCGGATCCAGGGAAGCTGCAGCTGCAGCACTGTGGCACCTGTGTGTCAGCTCCTGAGCTCCAGGGTGATAATCCCTCTCCAGACCCACTCCCCTGCCCTGGGGAAGCACCTGAGGCACGGGGCTGCCATGTGAGTGTGAGCTGCTTTAAAACTGATGAGAAGATATTTGTGATGGCCCAGTTTGGAGTGTTTGGGCCTGTGGCAGTTGGGCCATAGTGAACTCCACCAGACATTTTGATATTGCTGCCTGGTTTCTGGACTGTTGTGGGAAATAGCCTTCTGGTTCTCAGGCTGGCAAAGAACTGCACACTGTAGAGACCTGGGGACCATTTGGGCCCAAAGAGGGGATGACCATCCAGCAAGATACTCTTTGGACATTACAGGCTGGTGCTGCTTTCCCAGCCAGCACAGTAGCAGGAGAGGGCCTGAAGAGGTGGTGTGTGTGTCCCAACTACCTTCACAGACAGTGACCAGCTCCACAGCAACTTGGAGCATGGCTCAGGCTCCTGGGCCAGGGAATTAGCTACACCACACTGTTGTTTACACCACTGGTGTAGAAGAGCTAATCACCTCCTGTACACCACAGGAGTGAGTGATGTTGCCAGCCTCGTAGCTGCCTTTGCAGGCAGGTTTGCAGGGCTTGGGGTGTTTTGTGATGGCAGGGCATGATGGTGTTGTCTCTGCTTATTAAGGTTGTTCTGCTAATTAAACCTTGCTGAGGAGGAGAGAGGCTTCATAGCAACGGCATGTGGGCATCACACCACCCACTGCTCCTGCTTCACATGATGGGGGAGTGATGCCCTGGTGGAGCCAGGGAGTGGGGTTTTGCTCTATCCTGTTGTTCTTCAGGCAAAGCGTGAGGGAGCAGATGGTGGGAGGGCTGTCCTGGCTGTCCTTGCTTAACTGAGCATTCAGAGTCCGCAAAGTAAAGGTTTGGAAGAGGAGACAAGTCAAAGAATATGGGAAAGCTGACCCTTTCTGGGTAGAGATGAGAGGGTTCACAGAAGGAGGACTCTTCTGTGTGGAGAGAAGAGGCACTTTGCTTAGCTGTTTGTATGGGAGGAGTTATGTTGGTAGGTAGAAAATTTAGAGATAAATAGATAACGTTGTTAATGAGAATATTTTCTGGAAAAATTAGAAAAGCGTACTGGTGTTCCGCAATGCTGAGTCTCAGAAGAGTGTATGTCGGGAGAGGATCCCAAAATAGAATAGAAGCTGCCAGTGTCCAGAAAAGCCCTCTGAAAATTTTTCCACCTCACTGCCTTTCTAAGAGTGCCTCTTTGTTGGGCCCCAAAATCTGTGCCGGTGCCTGCAACTCAGGCAGGGTGAACTAGTGAGTGCCCAACACCTACTGCTTGCATGGTGTCAGTGAGCAACAGGGACAGACACTCTACAGATGCCCCTGCAGTGGCCTCATTCTCCAGGGTTTGGACTTCAAAGCCTGTGCCACACTCTTTCACTTTTGACCCCATTATCTGCATCACATGAGGTCCTTCTGGTCCAGTGTCACCTTAGGGAACTGGGCATCTTCAACCCACTGCTCTGAGCATGACAGCTCAGTGAAATGCAGTCATGCAGCCAGTGCAGGGTGGACTGATGGCCTCATTTCTTGTAAAGGACTAAAATTCATAGAAAGCTAGAAATAGTTTAAGGGTTTTACACAGTTTTAATTAGATTAATTTTATGTAGAATCAGTTCAAAGCACTTTGACAGCAAATGTGCTATCCATTAGAAGCAGACCGGTTAGGAAAGAGTTCATAATGTTAAAATCCACCTCCTTGGTCCCATGGGACCACTCTGTTCTCAGCACTTAAATCTCCACAGTTGGTCCCATGGGACTGCTCCAGCCTTGGCACCTCTCCCAGCTGTGAGGTATCTGCAAGCTGCTGTGTCCAGGTGTGCATCAGTACCAGCACATCATGGAGAGACTGAATTGGGTAGCGGCACAGAGAGGAGATGCTGCTAAGAGGGACTGTGTGGTCTTTTCACTGAATATATGTCATGGTCACAAAGACTGCACTATGACCGGTACTTGCTGTCCAGAGTTGTGGCATTGCTGTGGTTGTAGTGAAGCTTACTGAACTTGGAGTGGCTCTTGGGAGCTTCCCCTTCCACCTCTTCATTGACTGCAAGACTCGGAAGTGTTACATGTCCTGGAAGGAGGCACTCTCTGCTGCATTTGTGGCCACAAGCTGTGGTCATGCTGTGTTGCCCCACTTCCTCCTGCCTACCTGCCACCCCTGCATGCAGGTGTGAAGGAGCTGCTCTCCCAGCGCTGGGAGCAGAGGAAACTTCAAGATAGAGCTAAACTGGAGGGTCCTTGGAGCATCCCCTTCCCACTGTGCAGTGCAGTCTCATCTTTTCCAGAGGTTTATGGGGTCCCTTATAGAGACTGTCTGTGTAACCATTTCTAGTGCCTTAGCCAGGAGCTAGAGAGGCTGATACTGTCTGTCCTTTGAATAGATCTTAGAAAAGATCAGGTTTAAAATGCTCTAAATACCGTCCTTTAAATGTCTTTTCTACATTCCTGTTTCAGTGATGGCATAGTACAGGTTACATGGTGGTTTGTATCATGTTCTGAAGTTCATTGCTGGAGCCTAGTTATTAACCTTTAAAAAAAAAATTTAATCTTTTAAGCAACTTATAATAAATGGAGAAACAACCTCCTATTGATAAGAATTTGGGTTTACTTTGTTCGTTTTTTTTAAATGGTGAATTAAGCTTTGCAACAACATCTCTGGAAATTTAAAAATCAAGATTTTTAGATGCTTTTCTAGGAGATGATACCACTGAAACAGGAGTCATTTCAAAGAAGTCTGATGGCCTGCGCTGAACAAGATGTCAAACTAAATAATTGTAATGGTCTCTTCTGATCTTGGAATCTGTGACTGTGTACTTCCTGCAATTTCTGTAGACCCTTTTATGATGATAGATGAAATCAAACAGAAAGAGCAACCTGTCCCTTCCCTCCTCACTATTGCTAGACCCTGTTTCTTACCCCATTTTGTAAGCACAGATACAAATGGTGCCACAGCAGTATGGGGGTGAAATGAAAAGGTAGAAGACAGCATTTGTCCAACTATATGTTTCCACGTGGAAATGTTCATTGTTACTGCAATCAACTTTCTGATATAGGAGGTGTCCTGTTATATCTCACTGATTAATGAAGACGTCTGTTGCTTCCTGGGGTTCAGCAATCCAACTGTATTTCGTGCTTCAGCAGCAGAACATTTTGTTCAGATGTTCAGTCTTAATCCAGTTGAATTAATATGAACAAGATGCTCCTTATCCCAGTTTGATTTTAAAACTTTTAGACTCACAGGATGAAGTTAATATACATTAAAAAAAATTGCTGTGGATTTGGATGGCTTAATTTTCCTTCTGAATTTTGACTTGTATTATGTCTTCACAAACTCCTATTTAAATAGATCATTGTTTTTAGTAAAAAAGAGCCAGATGACACTGTTTATATACCTTGGGGTGAAGAGAAAAGAAAGGAATTCTTGAGTTCTAAGTACATACTTGTCCTATTTCTGTCAATTTTGATTTTTCTTTCCAGTCTTATGCTGGTGGCAGCCACATAGTGTAAAGGCAGTTATATTGTTGGACACCTTAGGTACAAGAATAGCAGAATGCAATTCAGGTAGAAAATTCATTATTTATATAGAAGGGTACCAATTTTGTTCTGCAGTAATGTATAAAACAGTTTATACTCTGTTCAGAACACACAAAGAACCCATTCTGTTCATGTAAATCTGTGTTCTGAATTTCTAATCTGCAATAAAATGTCCAATGTCTTCCATATTTCAGTAATAGATTGTTGGAGGTAATCCCTCTTTTATTTAAAAAATTATACTTCTTTTGATGTATTTTACATTTTAAATATTGGTTCTGTCTTATTCAGAACTGTATTGATACATCACCATTGTTGTGACATGTGATTTAATCCAAAGCACTTTGAAGAATTTTATTCCCTTAGAAAGATGAACAAGAATCAATTCTGGAAATGACATGTTTAATTTCAGCACTTATGTTAGGATGCAAATCATGTTGCTGACAGAACGTATCTTAAATCTTACAAAATAGCTGTCTACCTGTTCTCCCTACCTGTACTGCCTGGAATCCTGTTAAACTTGCATACCACAGCAGTCTGTGGTATGATTTTGATTTAGCAGGGTGCAGAAGTAAGTTCAAGACAATAATTTCTGGTTTTAGAATGGAATCAGAGAATGGCCTGGGTTGGAAGGAAGCTTCAAGATCATCTAGTTCCAAGCCCCCTGCCGTGGGCAGGGACAGTTTTCTAGTGTCCATCAAGGAGGACTGTGCATGTTTGCACAGCAAACTGTGTCCATTTGTCTTTCTTTCTAACAGCTTTGCATAGCTAACAACATGTCAAAAGAGCTTCTGTCCCTTCCTTTACTCACGTTAATGACTGACTTTTAAATCCTCTCATTAAAATCAGTCATCTGGTTGCAAATAGATTACACAAACCCCATTGGCATAACTCATCATTTGACCTCCTAGTGGCCTTATCCATAGGACAAAGAAAGGGCACCTGTGCATGCTGCCTCTGATGCTGTGGTTTTTTTTCAGGGTTTGTGACAGGCCTCATTTAGCACGGTCTTCCCAACCCAAGACTGATAAAGATCTTGCCTACTGGAGAAGACGAGGACAGGACTTCAGTGTGCTACTAGGCTATTCCCAGAAAGCCACTGTGGAAATGAAAAGCCTGGCTGCAGCCCCGGGGGCACCCCGGCACCCCAAGGAGAATCAGCTGAAGGTGGGGACAGGTGCAGGGTATGTCAGGCGAAGCGGCTTGCAGGAGAGCTGTGAAGTGCCCAGTGACTGCAAATGGCAGAATCTGGGAATGGAAAGCTGGAACCAGCCAAAAAAGGTAGGGAGGCAAATGTCCGAGGGTGACAGGGAGAAGCTGCTCCAAGAGCTGTATTCACTGACCCTGGGAGACAACGTACTCAGCACCCACAGCAAGGGGAAATCACAGTCATTGCCGAGGGTCCTTTCACCTGAGAGCATGAGGTGCGTGGAAATACCCTCCCTGACCAACAGTAACAACTCGCTCAGTGTAACTAAAACTCCCTCCTATTCCCCAAACAGACTGAGTGTGGAACCAGCCAAGCACCATGGAACGGGAGGCCATTTCCTTCCCCTGGTGAAACCCAAGTATGGGAGACCTCTCAAGCCTCCATCCTATGAACTGCAGCGGCAGACTAGGGCACCTGCAGAGACCGTGGGTTTCCAGGACCACTACCAGAAAGATGAACCCACCTCCTACTTAGCCAAAGTTAATGAGCCAAGGCAAGATGTTTGCATTCCAGACTCTGGTTTGGAGCCCCCCGTGTATGTACCTCCTCCTTCTTACAAATCCCCACCTCACCAAACCGTGACCCCACGTTCCCCCAGTGAAGTGCCTAACGCCGACACGTGCGCCAGCAGCGATCCACAGGGTGCTGCAGAGCGGGTCGTCCCCTGCCAACGACCAGCCATGAATACTTTTGAAGTGGTGGGTGACCCTTGCAAAGACAACCATTTTCCTCATGGGAAGCAAAGCCATGCAAGGCGCCCTGCTGACCACCTGCGTTCTGTCCAGTACATTCCCTTTGATGATCCTCGGATACGACATATTAAAATTGCACCACTGGAAGGTCTGCAGGACAACGCTAAATACACTGAAAATGCATGTAGTCCCAGTTCTGGTGCTTTGCAAGAGAGAAATCTTGAAGTACAGTACAACAGTGCCTTTGTGGATGCATCAAACTTGTCCAGTTCTGCAAAGGGAGAAAGAACTTCCTACAGCTCCACCCATAGCAACAGATGGTTGGCACCGTCCATCCGAGATCAGGAAAATTGTGCCTTGCCGGACCAAAGAGACAATTGTAGTGCAACTAATCACAGCCCCCGTAACGAAGCCAGCACAGAGTACACGAAAGGCAAACTTTCTGTAAGAAATTCACATATGGACAGCACCTGTGAGACTGTTACAAAAGTGAAAAAGTTTGAACCTGGAACTGGGATGCAGAGCAAAAAGAGTTCAAAGAAAAAAATGAATGAAACTATATTTTGTTTGGTCTCTATCCCAATTAAATCAGAATCCAATCTGCCAGATACAGATAGGAACAACAACATAACCCAGAGCCCTGATAAGAATGGGTTTGATAACAATGGGGCTTTGCAAGAACAAAGTCTCTTAAGTATGTCTTCAACGGACTTGGAGTTACAAGCGCTTACAGGAAGCATGACCAATAAAAATGAGTTACAAAAACAAGAGCTGTGGAGACCAGAAGAGTTCAAACAAATGAATGACCTCAGGTTTATTCAGCCTACAAAACACAGAGAGCTCAAATATTCTGGCTCCTGGCCAGGTGATCAGTACAAAGACCAGCAAACACAGACCAGTTTCAGTGAAGAACCTGAAAGCCCACAATTTTTACATGGTACAAAGCCTGGGCAGCTTGATAGTAGCAATCTTCTGTCTCCAAAACGCCTGGGATGTACAGCATCCACGATAGGGGCAAAACAGACAGGGTCACCTTCTGAAGAGAGAGGCTGCAGGCAGAGCAGTTATGGTATGAAGGGTCAGATGTACCTCAGCCAGTCTAGCAACAGTGCATTTTCCAGGACTGCCACCTCAGGCCTTCAGACTCCCTCCCCAAAAGCCCACCACAGCCAGCTTGTGCCTGCCCAGGAGAGGGAAAATGGCCTTCTTTCCAAGGGAGATGTAGTTAAGGGAGAACCAAGTGCTCCCTGCAACAGTAAAGAGCTGTTTGGGCAGTTCCTGTTGAAACCTGTAAGTCGTCGTCCATGGGATGCAATAAGTGAGCTAGAAAGTTTTAACAAGGAGCTGCAAGGGCAGGAGGAGAGCACAAGCAGTGAAGAAGACTTGGAAAGTGCTGCAGCCTCTCTGCAGGCAGGTGCCCTTATGCAGAGGAGGACATCCAGAAATGAGAAATCAAACCAGGAGCCAAAACATGGTGGGAAATCAGAACTGGTTATGCCAGAGGTGCCTGTATTTAGGTCAGGAAGAGTTAAAAGTAAGTCTGAAAGTTGGAGTATGGGGACAGAGCATGGTGTTGAGCCAAGCTATGTTGGCTCTAAAGGCTCCTCGCATCCAGGAGGGAGCAGTGAAGGAGTCAGACCAGCAGATGGAAGTCTGATAACAGAAATGGGGACAGGGGAAGCCAAGAGCAGCATGAGCAAGCAACCAGTTCATGTGGGCCCTGTCAAGAGAGCTTTGTCCAGTAGCTCAAGCAGTTCATGTCACAGTAATCCTTTCAATAATCCTGTCTTGCAGGAGATGAGTGAAGACCAAAATTACCTAGACTTTGTTAAACTGAGCAAAGGTGCAACTCCCACAAATAATACAGTATTAGAGAGAGGCTCGGTAGTACATTTGTCACTAACGAAGAGGAACCAAGGGTGCTCTGAGCCAGATTTGAGGTCAGTGGGACTTGCTGTGGCCCCAGAACCTGGTGCTAACAACTCTGATCACTCTTCAAATGCAAATGCAGTGGAAATCCCCGTGAATGAGTCATTGCAGGCAAGAGCTGCAAGAATTTTAGGTATAGATATAGCAGTGGAGTCTCTCCTTCCAGATGACCATGTTGGGCCCCACCCGGGCACTAGTCCTGCAAATGGGGCTCAGGACTTTGAGTCATCGTCAGTGGAGAGCACAGTAAGTGACAAAGTAGGAAAAAAGGAGGATTCTTATGAAGGCAGACGAAAGTGTGGCTGGACAGAGAGTGCTCTCTTTGTCAGAGCTGGAGGACGATCTTTACACCCTGATGAATGCCAGACCACTCACCAGGAAGCCAGTGCTAAAACACGGGTAACTGAGCAAGTTCTTGAAAAACCTGTGAGTCCCAGCCAAGGTGAGGACCAAAACTTGGTTTGCAAGTCACCTGTGTATCAGCATTCAGAAAAGAGAGTGAGAAGCACCTCGAAGGTGATAGAGACACTTCAAGGCAAGCTCACCTCTCCTCCGAGCCGGACTGCCATGGATCGCTTAGTGCGGATGAAAGAAGTTGACTCTGTGTCCCGGATGAGACGTCTGAGCATTAAGAGCGCAGACTCGGGAGAGGAGGTCGATGAGGAGAAGCTGTCAAAGGTACAAGAGGAGAGAGGAAGCAAACTGGCAAGCTCAGGGGCTGTTTCCAAGCGTGTTATCTCTCTCAGTGAAAATGGATGTTTGGGTGGAATGGACAAGAAGAAGATCAGCAGAGATTTTTCTTTAGGTAAGACCCTATTGTGGGAGATCCAGATGGGTACTCTTTCCTTATGTAACGGGCATGATCGGTTTGCTTATGCCCACATATACTGCTCAAATAGTAACAGGCTGTAGGTGGTACTACCCTCATCTGGGAGCCACCCACTTTGCTCTCCTTGTGGAAAAGATGAGTGTTCTCTGATCCCATTTTAGGAATAGTTACTGTAAAACTCACTTGTGATACTGAAACTCATTCACAGAGACTGGAGTGCTCTCTACGGTCTCATCTCTGTCTAATTGTTCCAGGGAATGGTCAGGCTAAAACAGTGGAGTTCCAAGACAGTCACTCTGGTGCCAGTGCTTGGGAACACGTGGTGATTTAATCATAGCCTCTCCCTGAATGCCAATTTTTTCCCTCCCTAATACCTAAATAGACACATACTATATCATAGTTCATAAGAAACTAAAAATAAAAATCTGATGTACTTCTATGAAGCCTCTGGGAAATGGCTGCATTCAGAGGCCTGGAAAATTCTCTCTCTCTCATGAACATTCTCCAGATCAGATGTTGAGAATAACTGTTAACCCCAGGTCAAACGGAAACTTCACTTTTTCAGTGAACACCTTTTTTTCCCTATTTTTTGGTGTTCCTCATCTCTCGAAAGCATATAAACTTGTGTAGTCCATATGCATCCCAAAAGTAACACAAGCTGTTCTCTCATCAAAACTGTTTTCATACAGCATTGTGTTGAACGACTGAAAATCAGTTGTTGCCATAGCTCTCTGTAAAGGGATAAATCTCCCAGGCCACCTGCCTAGTCCATTAAATTAATTGGAGTGAGCAAATGTACGGTGTGAAAGTTGTTAAATTAGCATCAATCTCCTCCTCCTTTTTCCATCCTCTCTGTAACAGCTAACACTTTACCTTGAAATCTGCACAAGTTATTCATTAAACCTCATCAATATAAATCTGTTCACAGTTTTCCAGTACAGAAGGACTGGAATTAAATGGAGTATACTTTAACTGGATTTAGGCATTTCTATCTGAAGAGAAATGCTTGTATGAGTTCGAAGTATTGACTCCTGCAGTCTTGCAGCCTTCCCCTTCATGTCTTTTTCTGTATCCTACATCTTTGTCTCTCTCTGCTCTGAACTGTATTTCTCTAGACCAGATTTTCCAAACAGGCTAATTCAGCTTTCTTGTACCCATCAGGTCTAGTATGCACCACATGCATTTCATATGCTTTCCTCCCTTGGGGTTTCTGCTGGAGTGAAGAAAATATCTGTTGTGGTGACATGACTTCAGGGATGTATCAAAACAGATTGTGTGCATTTTATTGGAGAGTTATTCTGCAGTAAATTAGGTCTAAATTTATCCCTCTTGCTGACAATGCTAGGCTTGTGTTCTGCAGAGTGTTCCCATTGCAGCAGTTCCCTCACAGCCATAACAGCCCTCGCCATGTCTGGATGGCAGGGATTTCCTTTCCTGCTGCACACATTCAGGGTAACACACACTCAGGTGGGGTGGGCAGGCAGCTCCTCCACTGACCTCTTCCCATTCAAAGAGACCCTAATTTGTCAATGGCCACAAAATCTTCACCTTACTTTAACAGCGAAGGGCTGAAGATTTGTGTTTATAGAAAGGCCTGATGTTGTGTCTTCCTCTGTTAAATCTCACTGCAGCTTCCAGACTAGCCCACTGGTACAATTGTAAACCCAAATGAGAATTAATCCTGGAAAATCATTGTATTCACTGGTTTTAAAGAGCAAATATTCCATTCTAAAAGGCCATTCTATTTGAAACGAGGTAGTGTTAGTCCTATAATTGCAGACTGGGCCTGTCACAGAGGCTGGAGCCCTTAGCAGAAACAGGCTTTCACATGTATAATGTAGCTTGGCAGAGGAACAGTCATCTCAGAGTAAGAGCTCTGCCAAAGCTCAGTGCAAGAAGCTCATCTTACTATGCAAATACTGCCATTAGAAGAAGAACATCTCCAAGTGTTCCCAAATGCATTGGATGTCTTTTCTCCTTTGCTGTTTGAAGACATGGGGCTGCTAATCTGGCTTTGTTTCTGTAGAGCACATTTCAAATGAGCTTAACCAAATGTTGAATAAACATTTCTGTTTCAGTGCTAGAACTCCAGTGTCTCTGCCCCTCAGAAGGGTGACATAGCCTGGCAGTCTGACACTTTTGTGTCCTTGTGTAGGTGCTGAAAGCATGAGTAAGCATAAGTAAGGGAATAAACTGAGCCATCCAGAGGCTCCGTGTCTTGTAGCCTGATTTTATCCCTCCCTCCCCACCCCTGCCCCTGTCCCGCCACTCCCTGAAACAGTGAGCACCTGCAATTTTGTGGGGAATTCTCATAATGTGAATGTGTCTGGCCTTAGGAAAATCAAGTTTCTGAAATGTAAATTCGTTTTTATTCTTAGGTCAACCTGTCACAGAATAGTTCAGAATTTTTGTATGTTCTAGCAGTTTAGATGGCAAAATATTTACAGTAGAAAAAATATTACTGCATCTTCCCACACCATCTGTGCATTAAACTTAGAAAGATGCAGCATTATCCTGGAGTGCCCTAGCCCTCAAAAACTTTTTTCCTGTTGATTTTTTTTGCATTCATATGGTGTCTGTTTGGAAATACCAAAAGAAGCTTAGCAGTGATAAACAATTCTGAAATGATTTGTGTTGCTGGCACAGACGCCTTTCTTGGCCAGCCTATCAATTTGAGGAGGGTGGGCAAGAGCAGTGATAAAGGATTCTGCACCAGGAATCCACCCAATGGGGGCAAATCCAGAAGTCCTTTCTTAGTCAGTCCCCCTCTTGACATGAGTCTGGATGCTGCAGATGGACACTTGCACACGGAAGCAAAAATTTCCCTTGGGGATTTTTATGCTTGTTTGAATGAAGACATTCACTCACATCAACATGAAAGTCCTGAGGATGAACGTTTTACTCCAAAGTGTGATATTTATGTGTGGAACTGTTTTCATGCTCAGCTGTTTAAATGCGAGTGCTGTGGGAGTACAGCCCACGGGAGGGACGTTTAAGGTTAGCACAGATACTCGGGTTGCGTAAGAGCAGCAAGTAGCACACGGCAGCACAGGCTGCAGTGCCGGTTTGTCCAGGCCCCTCTGCGCCTACAGACTCCTCTGCAGGTAGCTGTGGTTCCTCCAAGCCATGACTGTGCATCCCAAGGGTAAGTCAGGCACCTGCATGATGGCACTGGGGAGGCAGACCGCACAAGGCAAAGCCTTTTCATTGCAATCCTATCCCAGAGTCACAAGGGTGAAGGACGAGGCTCACGTCTGCTCACTTTGTGGCCAACACTAGGATAAATCCAATAAAAAAATCTGATAGAAGAGTGTCCCTTGGGGATTTGGGAAAAGGAAAGGCAACGTGTGGTATGTCCTGTGAACTGACAGGAGGTAGGCTGAAAATGAAGAACAGTGTTAGTAAGCCAGTCCAGTGCTTTAGTGAATAAGGTTCAAAATGTGAGCTGTGGTTTTGCAGACCGAAGTGAGACAGCCATAGTGATGCAACACAGCTGTGCTTTCCTGTTTTCTGTTGAATTAATCTGAAACCAAGGATTTGCAATCAAACGAAAAGACCCTGATGACTGCATGGCATAATCACTCCTTCAACTAGCCTTAAACACCCTGCTAGGATCTTTAAAGCATTTACTGCTCCTTCATCTTCAGTACAAGGAGGAGCAAATCTTATGTCTTTTTCTCCCTGTCAAAGCATCTGAGAACTAGAAGTAATCACTCAGCATTCAGTGTGCTTGTTCCTACCTACCAAAGGCCTCCCAAATTCTATCTCCATGCATTTGATCAAACTTGTTCCCAAATTACACTGGTATAAATACAGAATTTGGGTCAGGAATGTGATATGTATCTCTAAGGTGCTAAGTCCATTATCAGCTTCTTTTTTTTTTTAATAAAAGCTAGGGAAAACATGTCTCATTTCGACAGCTAGTAATACTGAATAGATTTCACAATATATTATTAATAGTGCTTTCTTGTTTTGTTCCAGATACCTATGACCCCACCAAAGTTGAAAAGGTGTGACATTAATGAAGAGGAGAATAGAGAGATTTCTGCTCTACTAAGAATGTTTCACTGATTTTTTTTTCTGGGTGCTTTTTGTTTGGTTTTTGTTCTTTAATGTTTGGAAATTGTCTCCATTTGTGATGTTCATGGTGTACTGACAATGCCTTTACCACTGCCACTAGGAATTAGCTATTCATATCTGAAAATGTTGCGGAGACCACAGAAAAATCTGACTTCGACATTGGAACCACCTGGCTTTGTAGCATTTAAGACAATACCTACCATTGGCAAAGAGTTTTCATCTGAACTGTATTTCAGTCTTTAGCAGGGATGGTGAAATTTATAAAGTGAAGTGTTACATTAGTGTAAATGTAAACATGTGAGATTAGTGAAATGATTTTTAAAAGAATGTGAATCTATAAGCTAAACTTCTAAGTATCTACATTCTAAACTTTGTTTAACTCAATGGAGTTTTGGCCATAAGTAGAAAGTGCTGCTGCACTATGTAGGGGAAGGAATGTGAAAGAGTAGCAAGGACTGATTTTGAAATTATTTCTGACTTCCAGAGTTTGAATTTACTTGGATTAAATACTTGCCACCTAGAGAGAAGAAAAACAAAAACCCAAAAGCTTCTAAAAGATGGAAGACTTTTGTAGTACAGTGTACAGAACATGTAATTATAGTAGCTGGCAACTAGTGTTTCAAACCAATGCAAAGTATACCACTGGCTGTTTTGCACTCAGTATTACCTATTTTTGTTTTGCTGTTTAGAAATTCTTTATATGAAAGAATAGTAGCTGGTTTAAAATAGCCCATTTTAACAAAGTAACTATATTTCTTGTTACAGAATACTATCTATTTTTCTACGATGTAAACAATTGCTAACAAGTGGCAAGTATAAAGAAGTATTATTATTATTATAATTATATTTTAAGAAGACTTATTCCTCTGAGTGAAGGTGCCCCAAGCAGATTTCACTTGTTTATCTTAATGCACACACCATATTGCCACCTACTCAGTAGTCCTACCTTATTTTGTTCTGAAAAAGCCATCTATCTATGTATGTATGTCCTACAGGGTTAATTTCTATTTTTTCCCACTCAATCCTTGGATCGTTCTTGGAACCACTTTCTGAAACACAGCTGAGAACTGTCTAGGCTGGTGTTGCTGACATTCCATTCCTGGGACATTCATTACCAAAAAGTGAGTTTGGATCTTTGTCCCAGTGTCACTGAATGGCTCAGATAAAATACCTGCTTTCTTTCTTATACTTTGTTCCCTTTTGCAGATTATGAGTTTGGATATGGCCAGTGTACAAAAATAAGCAAAACTGGGTTTAATTCTTCCCTGAAGTCAACAGTGTTGCTGGGGAGAAGTTCAGGTGTCTTCTTGATGGCATTTAAATACATGGCTTTAAATATATTTTATCTGCACACACAAATGCATGAATGACAGAATTTATAATAAAGCCTGTGCATTCTGCCCTTTGATCCTGAATTAGCCTGCTTAGTATCTGTGTCTTAAAAGCCTTTATGTCCATTCCTGTATGGTTTTTTTGGTAAGTACATGTGTACTAACATTGTTCTGATGACTTGTTCATGTACTTCACCAGTCTATTCTACTGGCGTTTTCTGGTTTCTAGCATAATTTTATTTTTTAAAGTCTTCTAATTTCATGAAATATTTTTTTCCTAAGTCTGTAATTTGGAAAGAACGATGGGGAAAAACATTCATCCTGTGTTTTGGCAGCAAGAATTTCTTGTCTGTAACACATGATTCTGTTACATATGGACTATTTAAAGCTTGCTTGAAAGGAAAATGTGGTGTATAATTTATTTTATTAACTCCTGTGCATGATGTGCAGCAATACTTGTTGACAAACTGTTCCTACCACTCTTACTATATTCACCTTTCTTCATCACCATCTAGGACATCTAGGGGCTTGTAAATAGCTACAAAGCATGTTTTGCCCCCTACCCCCCTCCTCCCAGCCAATACCCCTGACCTGAATACTGCCCAGTTCTGAAAGAACTCCAGCTGTTGTCATCCCACTTACCAGTAAAGCTGAGATGCCTAGCAATTAATTGAAAGTTTTAATTTATCCTTGATTTCTGGAGAACTGTAAATTGTCCCATATAACCAGTCCTGCTACCTTGGAACAAAAGTTTTCTGTGCATTTTATTTCCTTCTTATGGGAGTGGGTTAATTGATTCTGCAATATGTCTGTTTCATCAGTCATGTCAAGTAATTACTTTTTCAGTCACATGAAGACACAAATTAAAAAAAAAAAAAAGGAGACAATATTACAGGGAAAGTTTTATTGGCCAAGAATAAGAAATTGGGTAAGCTTTGTTTTGTAGTAGTATGTGACTGACCAGTGAATGAAAGAGTAGAGTTAGTGCTGCTTTAAAAATGGTGTATTCCTCTAACAACACTGGTAGTTTCATTTGGTACTATGATACAGACAACTGAGAAATACATGGGGTACAGTTTTCTGAATGATTGTGCCTCAGTGTTTCTACAGTGCCTATGCCATGGGTAAATATCAGCTATTGGAATGGGCTGGATGGTACCGTAGCTGAACCACCTTTCCAGAAACCCTTTGCCAGTTTGCAAACAGCAGTGAACAGAAAGCCCCTTTTACATCACATGTGGTTAAAAAACAGTAAATGGTGACTTCCAGTGCCTGTCTCAATGGGTGCATAAAACTGTCTTGGCAACAGCTGTCACTGGAAATGGCAAGAGCAGGAGCTCAGGGCTGGGCGGGTGCAGAGGTGGAGGATGCGACAGGCCAGGCTGCTTCCAGTGCCTCCTGCAGTGCAACAGTGAAAAGTGAGGAACTTTGTTCTCAGGAGGAAGAGCAGAGCTAGATCCTCAGAAATTATGCTTTTACAGGCTGCTGTGTACCCAGCTCGTGCTGCTGCCGTGCCGCTGCAGCTGTGGAAGCTGGGGTCGGGGAAGATACTGCTTTCACGAGCATTTCCAGAAACTCGTGCAGAAAAAAAACCACAAACCTGCCTGGCTTATACATTTTAAAAAATGTTTAATGGAGAGACTCCTCAGGAGCTGGATAGCTAAAGAGGACCTGCTGTCTCCTTCCCTTAGCCGTGCTGAAATCCGGAAGGGACAGTCAGCCTGAGGGGTTGGTGGCAGGGAGATAAGCAACGAACACAAAGTTCCAGGCTCCTATCTTCAATCTGAGGAAGAGGAGTCACCGGTGAACTCCGGGGCTGATGAACGGCCCGAGCCCTGCGGGCAGGGCAGGATGGATCGGAGCAGGAGCGGGAGCGGGAGCGGGGGGCGGGCGGGCTCTGCCCGGGGCGGTGCATCTGGGGCGGGGAGCGCGCTCCCTCCTGCGGTTCCCGAGCGCCAGCGGGAGGTTGGTTTCCCCGAGGAACCGCTCTTTGCGGGCCCCATTCCAGCCTCCTTGCTGGAGGCGTCTGGAACGAGACAAAGTGCGGTCTGAGCAGAACTCTTCAGTGTTTCAAATCCCACCGGCACCACAGCTAAAGGAGGCGGGAGGGACAGGAAGGCAGAAAAGGGAAACGCCTCTGAATGACTCCAGACCTCCGGTGGTGGAAATGCCCAATGATACCACACACCTGACCAAGCGTCACTCGCCAGTTATTAACTCAAGAAACCTTCCCCGGGCATAAGAAGGGCTGATATATTTCATAACACAGGTTTGTCTTTATTGCAAACAACAGTATCATGTATCAAAACCACCAAGTTTCCTTGACTCAACTCCTGATGTTGGGAGTTAGATCTGTGTACTGAAACATCCAGTGACTCTGGAAAAACAGGAAGGACGGCATATGCTTAAAGTGGTAAAGCCACAGAATTAATCTGTCACCCTTAGGAAATGAGCAGTCCCATCAAGCTTATTTACAGATATATATTGGAATTTAGTAAAATATTTCTGTTTAATATAATAAATCTATATAAATACCTGGGGTCAACATTCTGCTGCCTTTGCCACATGCACAGCCAGCTGAGTGTTAGTTTTATAGTGCTCAACCTTCTTTTTGGTTTAGAATGTTGATATCTTCATTGTCACTTTTCAAAGGAAAAAAAACAGTGGAGCGATTGGAAGAAAAGTAGAAATGTAATGTTCTGGGATTCTGAATGGCAAAAGTTCTTGCAATTGCTAAGTGGGCCCTTTTGTCCAGATTCAAAATGTGATAGAGGCAAGTATATGTGAGAAATTAATCTTTTCTTGGCAGGAGCCTTCAGTTCAAAGAAGATAGACAAAACAGTGCTAAAAGGAATGGAAAGGACTGACAGCTTGTCAGACTTTTGAATGTTTTCCGTGAAGCTGTCCTTTTGGAAGACATTGGTATTTTCTTGGTTGAGGATCAAACAATCCCTCAATTTCCCTCCACTGGCAATAAGCCACAGTGCTTGCAACCCTAATTTACTGAACTGAGATTTAATTACAAGTGGAGTCTACAAAATTTAAACTTCTATTCTTCTGCATAATCCAAATAAAGGATCGAGCTGAAGATCTCATGAGATGATGGCTATATCATTGAATTAATTAGGAAAGTTTTGAAATTGTGATTTCTTATTCAAACTTGCATGAAAATGTTCACTCCACCTCCCCTTGTAGACTAAATGAACCCTGTTTACCATCAACTCTATTTTTAAAGAAAAAAATGTTTCGAACAAAGAAAAAGCCTGATATCAATAGTAAAGCCCAAAACCACAATGCTACCTCCCACCCATGCTGAAAAATATGTTTCTAATATGGCTTGCAGAGCTGCACAGCAGGGAGAGGGTGAAGGGAACTGAAGTCAGAATTGACCGACACATGGCTGAGATTAGAAATAAAAATGAAATTTCCCAGCCAAGGGAAACCACAATAACATAGAGATTATAAAATGAAGGAGGAACTTTCTACACTTAACAGCCACAATCTCAGCCTTCTTTAGAGCTCTGGACCAGCAGAGAAAATAATCAGAACCATTCTGAAAGCCATTCCTGACCTAGAAGGAAAACAAGGAGGTATATATGCTAGACAATGTATCAGTATCCATGTGTCTGTCCCTATACAGTACAGATAATTCTTTACACTGACTTTTAAGATACTGTGGCCTATCTCCAAAACTAATACTATGTCACTGCCTTGGTTTTCTTCTCTAACTAGCCCACAGACAGATTTAGCAGGATAAAAATAGAGGAAATAGGGGTAAGCTATTACAATGCTATTTATATGATATCAGAAGATGAATGTGTTTTAAGAATTGTCCTTGTATTTTCTTCTGGACAATGCAAATACTGTTTCTGGGCTTACGTGTAAACCAGAGGGGTGCTGTTATTCAAGAGGAGACATTCTCCAAATAAAGATTTTGCATGGGTACACTCCTCTGTGATGTTGATGTTGTTATCATGGGGCAAAATGGAGCATGTGCTCCAATGTTTGCATTGCCTTCAAGAAAGATAAATGTATTGGTGAACTGTTAAAAGGCTGCAGTATTCTCCAGGGGACTGCTGCTTCCAAACCTGGTGTCATGACTGGCCTGTTACAGCATCAGGTACATCAGGTACAGAAATCATGTTTACTTTAAAGAATTGTTTTTCACATCCGCACTTTCTCAGATCAGCACAGACTGTAGGTCACTCGTGTCCAAGTTGTGTTCTGTTTGTTTTCTGCTTACAGGGCATGTTCTGCCTCTGTGCGAGAGTCAATTCCTTCTTTATTGCCTGGCAACCAGCCATCTGCACTGGGCAAACCTACAGTTAGAGCATTTTCCACTTCATGTAAGTGTTTTCCCCTCCCTTTGCAAAAGTTGATATGGCACTGGGATAGTTTACTTTGGCTGTGTTGCAGTAAAGAATGGCACGCTCTGTATCTCTGCTGATAGGACTTCAAGAGAACTAAGTTATCAAGTTAATATAAAAAATGTCTTATTTTTTTTCAGGCAGAAGTGTAGGCTGCTCATGGCTAGAATGTGCAGCTCTGTCTTTTGTCACAAGAAGGTTAGACCTTACTGTCATGTTCACATGTACTGCTGTGTACAAGCAATGGATTCATCCTGATTCCTGTTACCAACAAACTTGTGGAACAAAAGACCCAACAGATCTGGGGAGGCTGAAGATGGAAATCATTGTGGCAGTTTTACTCTCATTTTCTTTTCATCATCCAGCCAACCCGATCTCACTATAAAATCTCCCTCCCCACCTACTTGAAGTATAAAAATCTCTAGTCCAGCATAATGTCATCTTTCACTCGATTTGAGTCTAGAAACTAATTTTCCTACCCCCTTTTTCCCCCCCTGCTGGTAGGAGAGGGCAGGTGTTCAGTTCTTTTCAATTGCTGATGGATGGTTTGTTTTTTTCTTTCTACTCTTCACCTTAGTTTTGATACCTGCATCAATTCAAGCATATTGTTCATTACTTTTTCCAGAAGTAGTCATGTACCCAACAGAGTGGGCCCATTTGCTCTCAGCTACAGAAGTCCACAGGGTCCAAACAGTCCTATTGCTCTGAGACCTGACATTTCAAAGCTGGCGTTATGTTGGGGAACCCACACACAGCCCTGCCATAAAGGCATAAGGGCAGAGGCCTTCCTGCAGTTGCTTCCACACACCCACCCTCTCTGCAGAGAGGGGCAGCTGTATCAAGGCTGATTCTGCCCTGCACCAGCGGGGACCCATCTCTCACTTTTGTTCTTGGATATTACCTGGCCAGCACTTTCATGGTATGCTTCAGGTGGGCAGATGTTCTGCTTCCTGCCACCAGACAGGGACAGGGACAGGGACACAGTCTGTGCTCCCTCCAGACAAATCCATAGGTGCTCAGGCCCACCCTGGCCTGCAA